ATTCCTCCAAGCTTCATAGAAGGATTAGATTCAGGACAGTAGAAGTCAATATGATCAATCACACATAGATAGAGTTTGTTCTCCATTCTAAAATGAGTACATGGAGTAACTGGCATGCCCAGTGATATTTCAAGTCTCCCCTGACTTGATTCATTTTGTTTTTACATACAATTTTTTATCTACTAAGAAACTGGAGAGCTGCAAGGCACCAACCCTGGACTTCAGCTTTATTTCCTGGACTATCTCTGTGTCCTATGTACTGTATTTTTCGGAGTATAAGATGCACCTTTTTCTCCCCTAAAAGGGGGTGAAAATTTGGATGCATCTTATACAGCCCCTTATGTAGCCCCGCCCACCCGCCGGCCCCCACCCTTTGGTCTCTGCCTCCCAGCAATTTACCTCCTTGCAGCAAGCAGCAAGAAGAAACAGCCCATTTCAGCTTCAGCGCAGCCTAATTAGACAAGTTGATTGTCCCTCCTGACTCTCAGCTGTTTCAGGCTGCAGGGATTGCCATTGCCTATGGCTGCGTGGACCTCTGCTGCTTACTGCAAGGAAAAAAATTGCTGGAGCAGATTTTTTCCCCCCCTTGTGCTAATCAAGCTATGCTGAAAACGAAACTGAAAGTAAAGCAGGCTGTTTGCTGTAACGAGGCTAAATTGCTGGGAGGCAGAGGCAGATTTCTTTTTCTTGTTTTCCTCACCAACAAAGGTAGGCGAGTCTTATAGTCCGGAGCGTCTTATACTCCAAAAAGTACGGTAAGCCCCAGAGGAATTGGTAGAAAATAAAATTTTCTTGGATATGTGGCCACCTGTGCAGAAGAAAAAAAATGTTCAACTTGACTTATGGCCTTAGAGTAGGGCTGTCAAACTTGATTCCATTGAGGGCTGCATCAGGGTTGTGTTTCACCTTGGGAAGCCGGGGTGGTGGGCGTGGCTGGGGCAGGTGTGGCCAGGGTGGGCGTGGCCAGCTCAACGTCACTCATCAATGCTCCGTTTTTGGCTGCGACGGCCTCCTGCAGTCCTCTGCCAGTGAAAACGGAGCTCAGAGAGGCCATGCACAGCTCTCCTGAGCTCCATTTTTGCTGGCAGAGGCACCGCAGGCTGGTCCTTTCCTGTTTCTAGGGTGGCCCCATAGGCCAGATCTAAGCACCCCATCCTGCGGGCCTTGAGTTTGACACACCTATCTTAGAGGTTCTTTTTTGGGGAGTTATTGAGGGTGGTGAGGACCATGCCAGCTTGCCTTCTGATAAGTTTGTGAAAGTCCTGAATCAAAGTAAGATTCCATGGGAGCAATTGAAATAATCAATGGTGCATGACTTCAATTGACTTCAATAGTCAAAATACTAACCATAAAAAGAGGTACAATTCAGTAGTGAAATTCAAATTTTTTTACTACTGGTTCTGTGGGCGTGGCTTGGTTGGCATGGCAGGGGAAGGATATTGCAAAATCTCCATTCCCACCCCACTCCAGGGGAAAGATACTGCAAAATCTACATTCCCACCCCACTCTGAGGTCAGCCAGAGATGGTGTTTGCCGGTTCTCCAAACTACTCAAAATTTCCGCTACCGGTTCTCCAGAACCTGTTAGAACCTGCTGAATTTCATCCCTGGTACAATTGAGCTTGCATTTACAATCGTAGGTCATGTCCATTTTTAACTGGGTAACACATGTGACCATGTGAGATTTCATTACCTTTTTTGTAATAGGCGTTGTTTGCTAGGGGGCATTTTCCCCAGAAAACTGGAAGTAAACATCAGTTTTTTGGGGGAAAAAAACCAACATAAATCAAGGTCATGTGACTGCAAGATACTTCCAATGGCCAAAAATGCTGGCTGGTTGCCGAATGCCCAAAATGTGATCACATGACTGAGGATGTGGGTTAGAGTTAGGGTGCGTAAGTCAGAACTTTGAATCAGGGTCCCAAATACCTTTTTCGTGGTATGATGTAACTTTAGAATGATTGCTAAGTGGTTGGTCATAAACCAAGGACTGCCTGTAGGTTAAAAAAAAATGAAGCAGAAGAAGACAAACTTCGGATACATTCAGGGGTGAAATCCAGCAGGTTCTGACAGGTTCTGGAGAACTGGTAGCGGAAATTTTGAGCAGTTCGGAGAACTGTCAAATACCACCTCTGGCTGGCCCCAGAATGGGGTGGGAATGGAGATTTTGCAATATCCTTCTCCCAGGAGTGGAGAGGGAATGGAGATTTTGCAGTATCCTTCCCCTGCCACGCCCACCAAGCCATGCCACGCCCACCAAGCCACGCCCACACAACCAGTAGTAAAAAAAAATGTGGATTTCACCACTGGATTCATTTCCTGCCTCTTCTAACCCTGCCCTCTTCTAACTCTTTTCCAGTATGCGACTCTTTCTCCCTCAACGAAACCCTGCATGGAGACAGTTTTCGCCAGCCCTGGTTTATCGACCAGCGTTTCACCTTGTCTACCTTGTGCCTCCTGGTGATTTTCCCGCTCTCCATCCCAAGACAAATTGGCTTCCAAAAATATACAAGGTAAGACAGAGTTCAAAGGGCCCATTTTTGGAACCGGGGTCCGCCAGGGATTAAGTCTAACTCCAACTTGGATCTGATTTACATCCCGGGTATGTTTTGGGAGGAAGTGAAACAGAATATGGGTTTTATCCTGGTTGGACAGAGTAAGGTGCAAAACAAAAGCACAGAATATAGAATAATAGGGTTGGGAGGTCTTCTAGTCCAGCGGTCACCAACTGGTGGTCCGTGGACCACTGGTGGTCCATGAGAAAATTTTGGCGGTCCACAGAAAAATTATTTGCATTATTTATATTGCACTAAATCAGGAGTCCTCAAATTATGGTCCCTGGGCCAGATACGTACAATGAACATTTGTGTTGCTGCAGAGTCTCCCCCTTCGGGATCTTTTTGTGCGGGTCGGAGGGGGGCAGAAATTCCGACTTGGGATCTGTTTTAGCTTCCTGGTGTGGGGCTTTGGGCGAAGGCTGGAGGGAAGCGCCGCTGGTGGCGAAGAGCCGGAGAGCCTCGTTCCAGTGGGACTGCATCATGGCCTGGAACTGGCTGACCATCTCAGCCCGCTGAGCCTCAAGGTGTCGGTACCTGGCCTTGCACTCCCGTAGGTCTTCCCTCTGCTTGGAATGCCTATGCTCCTAGTCCTCAGTGAGGTGCTTCTGCTGAGTCTCCTTTTCGGTCAGATCCAATTTGAACTGAATTGTTTTGCCAACTCTTTCTCATGGGGGCTGCTTAGCTCCAACAACTGCTTCCTGTTGGGGCCCTAAGGAGCCTGGAGAGGCGAGGAGTGGCTGGGAGGGGAGGGGCGAGACACCCCTCCACATGAATGACATTGAGTTGGCCATGTCCACCCAGTCACATGACCACCTACCCACGCCCACCCAGCCGGTCATTAGGCAGATCATATTAGTGGTCCGCGGGATTTAAAATTATGCATTTACTGATCCCTGAGGTCCGAAAGATTGGTGAGCCCTGTTCTAATCCAACCCCCTGCTGAAGACCTTATACCTTTCCAGACAGATAGCTGCCAGTCTTCCCTTGAGAATCTCCAGTGATGGACCACCCACCACTTCCTGCATTCGCATGACTTCATTTTGTGATAGTTTTGCTGAAGGCTGGAACTGGCATTTGGTTTTCAGCAAAATTATGCCCATAGGGTTTGCTCAATGACCACGACCTTTGCCCAACGACTGAGAGCAGTGGCGGCTTTACAGCTGTGGTGTTTGCTTAATAACTGCTGCAAAAACATCATTGGTCATTTTACGACCGTCAAAACTTACGACCTTAACGGGCAGGCTCCATTATAGTCATATAACAGAAGAACAGAGTTGGAAGTGACCTTGGAGGTTTTCCTTAAACAAAAGAACAGAATTGGAAGGGACCTTGTAGGTCATCTAGTCCATCCTCCTGCTCAAGCAGGAGACCCTACACCATTTCTGACAGATGGCAGTCCAGTCTCTTCTTGAAAGCCTCCAGTGATGAAGCTCCCACAACTTCTGAAGGCAACTTCTGTTCCATGGGTTGGTTGTTCTCCCTGTCAGAAAATTCCTCCTTATTTCTAGGTTGAATCTCTCCTTGGTCAGTTTCCATCCATTATTCCTTGTCTGGCCTTCAGTTGCTTTGGAGAATAGCTTGAGCCCCCTCCTCTCTGTGGCAGCCCCTCAAAGGTCTTCTAATCCCTTTACCATTTCAAACAGATGGTTGTCCAATCTCTTCTTTAAAACCTCCAGTGATGGAGCATCCACAACTTCTGGAGGCAAGGCGTTCCACTGTTAACTGTTCTCACCGTTAGGAAATATCTCTTCAGTTCTAGGTTGGTCCTCTTGAGGACTTCCTGCAGAATCTTTTGCCTCTGTCCAATTTTGCTCTTTCTGCGCATCTTTTCCAGTATCCTTGGTACTTTAGCTGCCTGCTACCTGATGCTGGTCATTGTGCTGAAATATTATCTCCAAACCGATCACGCTGTTAAGCAGGAACGTCTCCATTCTGCTAGGTAAGTATGGATATATAGACACCCGTAGTTGTACTTGATGCAAGTCATACATCATTGTGGGATTATGTGAGGAGACTCTTGACCCTAGGGGTCAAACTAACCCATAGGTGAGGGGTGTCAAAGACAAGGCTGTCAAACAACATCGGATCCGACCCGTGGGACTGTCCTGGAAAATGTAAGGGGCCGGCCTGCATCGCTTCGGCCCAGTCTACCCAATGCGAAGAGGAAACATGCCAGCAGTTTGGGGAGTGGCGTCAAGCTGGCCAAGCCCCACCCAGTTGGCTACAGCCACCCAGTCGGCCACACCCACCTGGCCCCCCGAGCAGAGGTGGTATTCAGCCGGTTTAGACCGGTTCGCCTGAACTCAGACTTAACCCCTCCAAGACTGAGTGGCTGTGGTTTCCGGCGTCCCGTCATAGTCAGTTGACTCCATCACTGACTATTGGGGGTGAGATCTTGGCCCCCTCAGAGAGGGCTCGCAACTTGGGCGTCCTCCTGGACTCACAGCTGTCCTTAGAAGACCATCTGACGGCTGTGGCCAGGGGGGCTTTTTATCAGGTTCGCCTGATTTACCAGTTGCGTCCCTTTATGGACCGGGACTCCTTATGCACAGTCACTCACGCCCTCATCACTTCCCGTCTGGACTATTGTAACACTCTCTACATGGGGCTCCCCTTGAAGAGCACCCGGAGGCTCCAATTGATCCAGAATGCGACCACGCGGGTAATTATGGGAGCGACTCGATGCTCCCATGTAACACCGCTCCTGCGCGAGCTGCATTGGCTCCCGGTGGTCTTCCAGGTGCGATTCAAGGTGTTGGTTGCCACCTTTAAAGCACTCCATGGCATGGGACCTGGGTATATACGAGACCGCCTTCTGCCACCGATAGCCTCCCATCGACTGGTACGCTCCCACAGAGAGGGGCTCCTCCGGGTGCCGTCAGCTAGACAATGTCAGCTGATGACCCCCAGGGGGAGAGCATTCTCTGTGGGGGCCCCTACCCTCTGGAATGAGCTGCCCCCGGAGAGTCGTAGGATTCCTGGCCTGCGCACCTTTCGTCGCGCCCTAAAAACATTATTATTCCAACAAGCAGGGCTGGCCTAAATGATAATATTTTTACTATTTTAATTGGGTTGTTTTATTAGAATTGTCGGCCATTTTATTTAATTGTTTTAAGTTGTTTTTACAATTTTTATAGTGTCATGGTTTTATTTCTGGCTGTACACTGCCCTGAGTCCTTCGGGAGAAGGGCGGTATAGAAATTTAATAAAATAAAATAAAATAAATAAATAACTGGTAGCAGAAATCGCAGGTGACTGCCCTTGGCTCTATGCCATCTTATTTTGGCACATTTTTGAGGCCAGGCGCATACATGGAAGGCAGGCAGATGTGCGAACCGGTAGTAACATAATGTGAAACCCACCGCTGCTCCCGGTTTAGACTGGTTCTATAGAACCGGTAGTAAAACCGGCGGGAGGCTCCTCCCACTGATGTCATCAGAAGCGATCTGTGCATGCGCAGAAGCAAGGCGTGCGCACGAGCAAAGCAAGCGCATGCGCGCGATCCCATTCTGAACCGGTAGTAAAGGTAAGTAGAACCCACTCCTGCCCCGAGGTCCACCCCAGCCCTGATGTGGCCCTCAATGAAATTGAGTTTGACACCCCCTGCCATAGGTGCCAAGAGATGCCATGGTCTCCAACAGGGTGACTGCAGTATTAGGCAGTATTATTCTTATCAATCATAATGATTACCTTCCCTGGGAGCAAACTGGATAAAATGTCCAGAGGTGTTGATCATGGATCTTCTTAATGTGGGAACCTTTTATCATCTTTGGTGGCTTTGCCCAAAAATTAAAACATTCTGGATGAAAATTAAAATATGGATAACAGAAATAACAGAAGAAGAGATTGACCTAAAACCTGAATTTTTTTTATTAGGCATACTTAAAAAAAGTAGTAGAAAAGAAATAAAATACATCACATTACATATAATTACGGCGGCTAGATTAACCTTAGCCCAATCCTGGAAATTAGAACAGTTGCCAACAGAGCAACAAATAATCCAAAAAATATTCATATGTGCAGAAATGGATAGATTAACTTTAAAATTAAACAACAAGGAAATCTCACAGTATTACAAAATATGGAACAGATGGTATGAATGGATCAATCGATGGAAAAAAAAACTAAAGTCAAATATAGTAAGAAATTAAGGGTAACAAATTTACACCGGCATTAAGAAATAAAGGTTAATGTATATATGTATTTACATGTTCAAATATAGATAGACAATCCTGTTTGTTAGTTTTTAGTATCTTTGCAATTTAGAATTGTACTTTCTTTTGTAGAGCTAAGAACATTTTATACAATTTTTATCTTTTTATATTGAATAAAGTTTGTTTTTAAAATTAAAAAAAAATGTGGAGGGAAAAAATGAAGTGAATGGTATTGCCAGAGAAAACAGATTTATTCCCTCACCACCTGGCACTGCTTTTCTGCCTGACCAATTTAGGTAAGAATAACAGATTAACACAGCTGAAAGGGTCCTTGTAGGTCATCTAGTCCAACCCCACCCCCCAGCTTTCCCAAGCAGAAGACTCTACACCATGGCTAACCTTTTTGCCATCACGTGCCGAAAGCGTGGGGAATATGTGTGGTGGGGGTGTATCACACGTGCGTGTGCCCACACCCATAATTATATGCGCCCTGCCTCCCATGCATGCACGCGAAACTCCACCCTCCCCGCACCGGTGCTCCCCCTGCTTTTGGCACACGATGGCATGGTGTGCCCGCTAGGCCTGTTTTTTTACTCTCCCCAGGCTCCAAAGCCTCTCTAGGAGCCTGGGGAGGGTGAAAACAGCTTTCCCTACACCCCCTGGAGGCCGGAAACAGCCTGTTTCCCTACTTCTGGTGGGCCCAGAAGGCCCGAAAATCAGCTGGCCGGCACACACATCAGAGGTGGGTTTCAGCAGGTTCTGACCAGTTCTGGAGAACCAGTAGTGGAAATTTTGAGTAGTTCGGAGAACTGGTAGAAAAAATTCTGACTGGCCCCTGCCCCCATCTAATCTCTGCCTCCCGAGTTCCAGCTGATTGGGAGGAAATGGGGATTTTGCAGTAACCTTCCCCTGGAGTGGGGTGGGAATGGAGATTTTGCAGTATCCTTCCCCTGCCACACCCACCAAGCCACGCCCACCAAGCCACACCCACAGAAACGGTAGTAATTTTTTTTGAAATCCACCACTGCTCCAAGGTCCCTTCCAACTTCTCTTCTCTTCTCCTTCTCCTTCTCCTTCTCCTTCTCCTTCTCCTTCTCCTTCTCCTTCTCCTTCTCCTTCTCCCTCTCCTCTTCTCTTTCGTTCTCCTTCTTCTCCTTCTCCTTCTCCTTCTCCTTCTCTTTCTCTTCTCTTCTCTTCTCTTCTCTTCTCTTCTCTTCTCTTCTCTTTCGTTCTCCTTCTTCTCCTTCTCCTTCTCCTTCTCTTTCTCCTTCTCCTTCTCCTTCTCCTTGCACGCCGGAGCTGATCTCACATGCCCACTGATATGCGTCCACATGCCACAGGTGGCACGCGTGCCATAGGTTTGCCATCACAGTCCTACACCATTTTTGACAAGGCAAGATGATGGGACGGGGGCACCCAAATGTTCTTTTATTTACTTATATTTTTATTAAATGTCTATGCTGCCCATCTTATCATCAAGCGTCACTAAGTGGATTATGAGATAAAAATGACAACGTACACTTTAAAAAGATAAATATTAACATTGAAATGCAGAAAGGTGACTAAGGAAGAAGCCAATCTACAACGGGGGAGGAGATGCATTCTTTAAATATCTTTCAGGGTATTTTCCTACCTAGATAGCCAATAGACTCTGATTTATTTGGCCGTTTCCATGTAGACCAATGGCAGGCACCTTCATAATGTACATCCTTGTTTTGTTTTTCAATCGCACAGCTCTTGGGCCTCCATGTTCAGCGTTGTCCCAACCATCTGTTTCGGATTTCAGGTAATAAAGTGAATATTTCCCCTTTTTTCCTTAAAGGGTGAAGGAGATATGGGGGCTGATCCATATCCTTTGTCCATCCTCGTTGCAAAAGGACACTTAAAGTTATAGGTATCTCTGAGGATGCAATAACTTAGATGTAAGTGTACCTTTTTTTATTATCAGGAAAAAAAGAGTAACTTTGTCATTGATTCCCCATTCCTTGTTTACTTCAAAATCAGGAAATTGAGAAGTGTTGAGATACGTTAAGCACCACCGACAATGCAACTACCCTTCAAAAAGACCTTGACTATATGTCAGATTGGCCTAAAAAATGGCAACTTCAAATCTCAACCAACAAATGCTCTGTCTTACACATTGGCAAATATATATATATATATATATATTTGCCAATGGTTTTATATATATAACCTTAAGGTTATATATATAACCTTGGTTACGTAGGGAAAACCTGGCTAGAGGAAAACACACACACACACACACACACACACATATATAAAGTGTTTTACCGAGACACCTGGTCTACTCCAACATGTGGGAGAGAGCATTCTGCTACTCCCACATGTTGGAGTAGACCAGGTGTCTCGGTAAAACACTTAATCTTTCCCCTGGCTCAGGTTGATGAAGGGAGGAGAACTTGTGACTCAGTGGTTAATACAACTGCCTAACATGCAGGCAGCCCAGGTTCGAATCCAAGTAAGGGTAAGGCTGGCTGATGAGAGCTAAGAAGCTTGAAATAGTTCTATACCAGTCTCCCTTTATTTCTTTATCAGTCAAATATATTTGGTATATATATATATATATATATATACCAAATATATATGTGTTGAGATATATATATATCAACACATAAAATACAAATTAGATGGACATGACCTTGTAGATGAACCTCAATCTGTCAAGGACCATGGAGTACTCATTTCTAAAGATCTAAGTGCCAAAGCTCACTGTAACAACATTGCCAAAAAGGCATTAAGAGTTGTTAACCTAATCTTGCGTAGCTGCTTCTCTGGTAATATTGTACTAATAACTAGAGCATACAAAACATTTGCTAGACCAATTCTCGAATACACCTCATCTGTCTGGAACCCGCACTGCATATTGGACATAAACACAATTGAGAGAGTCCAGAGATATTTTACGAGAAGAGTCCTCCATTCCTCTAACTGCAATAAAAAACCTAATGCCGCCAGATTTCAAATTTTGGGCTTAGACAAATGAGAACTACGCCGACTTCCGTCTGACCTAAGCATAGTACATAAAATTATCTGCCACAATGTCCTTCCTGTCAATGACTACTTCAACTTCAACCACAACAATATAACAAGCACACAATAGATACAAACTTAAAGTGAACCGCTCCAAACTCGATTGCAGAAAATATGACTTCAGCAACAGTGTTATAAAAGGGATAAATAGAATAATATAAATATAAAAGGGATAAATAAAAGGGGTGGTATAAAAGGGATAAATATAAAACAATATAAATATAAAAGGGATAAATAAAAGGGATGCTCCCTTGACGGCAGGAATGGGTATCGACAGCTTTAGGGATGTGAAGTGAGGAAGAAGTCAATGCAGTGAGTTCTGGGCAGGCAGGATGTTTAGCGCTCTGCTTTGAATTCCAGTGCTTTGTATTTGCCTTCCAGTGTCACGAAGCCTGTGTGGCCATCTACTGCAGCCTGAGCGATAAGAGATTGTCCCACTGGGTGGTGGTTTCTGTGATGTCCATGCTCTTCTGTCTGTTGATATACTCCCTGACAGGTATCTTTCTCGTAACGTTCTCCGTCAGAGAAGAAACTTTTCACATCTGGTGCCCTCAGAAGATACTAATAAAGGAGAATATTTGTAGCTCAAGGTTGACGTGAGGGGATGTTTTCTGAGTTTGGTAGTTTTCTTGCAGACGTTTCATGACCCAGATAGGTAACATCATCAGTGCTAGAAGGGAATGGTGTTTGCAGGGGAGGAGGAGGAGGAGGAGGAGAACGACGACTGTGTTAATTCAAACCTTTATTGTCAGTGCACAACATATGTGTTGAGCTCCCTCAGTGCACCCCCACCCCGACACAATACAACTCACAGTCAAGACAGAAAATCCCTAACCCAATAAATCATATTAAGAAAACACCCAGTCCTATTGCACCAGTGTGGGGTCCTTGGTGCCATCTGAGCTTGGTAATTTTCTTGCAGACGTTTCATTACCAAACTAGGTAACACCATCAGTTCAAGAAGGGAGTGAGGTTTAGAGGAGGAGGAGGAGGACGACGACTGTGAGGTCCTTGGTGATCTCTGAACTTGGTTTGTTTTCTTACAAACATTTCATTACCCAACTAGGCAACATCATCAGTGCTAGAAGAGTGTGAGGTTTGTGTGGTGAGGGAGTAGGAGAAGTGGAGGAGGACTGTGGGGTCCTTGGTGCTATCTGAGCTTGGTAGTTTTCTTGTAGATGTTTCATTACCCAAACTAAGTAACATCATCAGTGCTAGTGAAGCCAGCACTGACGATATTACCTAGTTTAAACCGGGGTATAAAATCTACTTACCTTCCCTACCAGTTCAGAAATGCACGTGCTGCGCACTCGCTCCGTGCACACGTGCGCTCACATGTGCGCTCTTGGACCCTATATGCATGCACAAACCCTTCTGCGCATGCGCAGAGGGTAAAAAACAGATTGCGCGTGCTGCCGCCGCCGCTCCCAGTTCTCCGAACCACCTACTGCTGCTGCTCCCGGCAGGGCCGGATTTAGATGAAAAGAGGCCCTAGGCTATTCCACTTATGAGGCCCTTTCACCTATAGTGAAAGTGGAATTTTAATTTTGCTAACAATTTGAATGCAGGCCCTTCTTGATCTTGAGGCCCTAGGCTGAAGCCTAGTTAGCCTATAGGAAAATCCGGCCCTGGCTCCCGGTTTGCACGAACCGGTGCAAACTGGTAACATTTCACCCCTGGTTTGAGCAATGAAATGCCTGCAAGAAAACAAATAAGTTCAGACGGCACCAGACTGGATTTCAATGCCACTCCATTCTAGTCAACTACTGGCTAGGCAGCCTGAGCATCGTAGCACTTGAAATCTGACAAATAGATATTGGGATATATATTGGTCCTAGATGGGAAATAGTCCAGTTTGCTGGAATTCTTATAACCCCCTCAAGAAATTTCGCTAAAAGCGACTTGGTGAGAATCATTGGTGGGCAAAGAATTCTTTTGGGTTTAGAAGTTTAAGAGTTTGCCATACATTTTCTTTCACCCAAGTAACTAAACTAGTGGAGTTTCTAGTGGTCTCTGAGTTTGGTAGATATTTCATTGTCCAACTAGTTAACATCTTGTGTGTGTTTGTGTTTGCGTGTGTGGAATTTGCTGCCCATTTATTTATAGTAGCTTACCTTGCCAATTTGATTAACCACTTCCTTGATTAATCAGAGAACCATCAAGGAGGAAATCCCTACCAAAAGTGGAGAGTTATTATATATTATATTCCATCCTTTCCAAGGTGGGTAAAATGTGGACCCGGTTTGTGGGGGCAATAAGCTGACTTTGTATAAAATATACAAAAGATTGAAGGCTATTGCTTAACGCATTGTAAGCCGCCCTGATCTCCGGAGAAGGGCAGCATATAAAAATAAATAAATAAATAAATAAAAATAAAATAAATAATAATACCATGTTTCCCCGAAAATAAGTCTGTGTCTTATATTAATTTTTGCTCCAAAAGATGCATTGGGCCATATTTTCTGGTTAGGGCTTATTTTTGGGGAAAATACGGTACTAAATGCATCCATCTGGCTGACAGTCTTAACTAGGGCTTATTTTGGGGGTAGGGCTTATATTAAGAGCATCCTGAAAAATCATGCTAGGACTTATTTTCCGGTTGGGTCTTATTTTCGGGGAAACAGAGTACTGTATATAATATGTAATATACCCCGTTTCCCCGAAAATAAGACATTCCCTAATAAGCCCAATCAGGCTTTTGAGCACATGCGCTAAAATAAGCTTCCCCCCGAAAATAAACCCTCCCTGAAAATATTTAAATGCAGAGCTGGAAATCAGGTAAGACGGCAGGAGGAGCCCCGTCTTGCTCCACGTGCCCCAAAATAATAAGACCGCCCCGAAAATAAGGCCAAGCGCTTATTTCGGGGTTCAAAAAAAATATAAGACAGGGTCTTATTTTCAGGAAAACACGGTATTATATATTATTATATATTATAAATGGGCAGAAGACCAGAGATTTATTTGCACTGGAAATTTTTCTGAAACAATGATGCATCAGATCACAGATCGTCTAGCTATAACCTCATGGTTTATTTCCTGCCAGGTTTGTACGGCTACTTAACATTTGGAGCTGATGTCGCAGCGGACATCCTAATGTCCTACCCTGGAAATGATGTGATGGTTATTGTAGCCCGGCTGTTATTTGGCATCTCCATTATCACCATCTACCCGATAGTCCTTTTCCTAGGAAGGTGAGAAGCAAAAAATAACAGTTTCTAGGACTTTCAGAGTTGTTAAAATCTGTTTCAGAAAAACCCAACGGTTTGACGTTTTCTCAAAACTGGGTCACCACACACAGTCTTTTTATTCATCGAGGAGAACCAGCAAAAGACTTGAGTTGCTGTCAAGATCTTTTGGGAGACAGTAGGAAGTTCTTGGGACAACTGGGATGTAAAAGTGGTCTCGTCCCCCAGACGGAGGGAGGGCATGGGAAGAGTTCCTGAAGTGACCCTCCCTAGTCTTCCAGAGAGTATAAGGAGAGGGGGGGGGAGAGAGGAATACTTTCAGTCTTGCAAGATTTGTTAATGTAAACTGACAATGAAGCTGGAGATCAGAGGTGAAATCCAGCAGGTTCTGACAGGTTCTGGAGAACCGGTAGCAGAAATTTTGAGCGGTTCGGAGAAATGGAAAATACCACCTCTCGCTGGCCCCAGAGTGGGGTGGGAATGGAGATTGTGCAGTATCCTTCCCCTGGAATGGAGTGGGAATGGGGATTTTTTTTTTTAATTTGATTTATATGCCGCCCTTCTCCGGAGACTCAGGGCGGCTTACAATGCGCTAAGCAACAGCCTTCATTCTTTTGTATATTTATACAAAGTCAGCTTATTGCCCCCACAAACCGGGTCCTCATTTTACCTACCTTAGAAAGGATGGAAGGCTGAGTCAGCCTTGAGCCTTGGCGAGATTTGAACCTGCAGTAATTGCAGGCAGCTGGTCTTAATAACAGGGTGCTTTAGACCACTGTACTACCATGGGCCTTTTGCAGTATCTTTCCCCTGGAGTGGGGAGGGAATGGAGATTTTGCAGAATCCTTCCCCCGGAATGGGGAGGGAATGGAGATTTTGCAGTATCCTTCCCCCGGAGTGGGGAGGGAATGGGGATTTTGTAATATCCTTCCCCTGGAGTGGGGAGTGAATGGGAATTTTGCAGTATCCTTCCCCTGGAATGGGGTGGGAATGGAAATTTTGCAGTATCCTTCCCCCGGAGTGGGGAGGGAATGGGGATTTTGCAGTATCCTTCCCCTGCCACGCCCACCAAGCCACACCCACAGAACCGGTAGTAAAAAAAAATTGGATTTCACTCCTGCTGGAGATGATATTCACAGTTGTGTTTCCTGTCTTCAAGGACCAACAGTTCCTCTTTTAAAGACCACTCCGTCGTGGTTGATAATATTCACTTTTCTGGGTTTAAAGGAATCTGAGGAAGTCAAAGCTTATCTGGGAAAGTATTTAGAGCAGGGAGGTACAACCTTGGCGATTTTGACTTGTGGACTTCAACTCCCAGAATCTTCAAGCTTCCAAGGTTGAGAAACACTGCCTTAAACATTAATCCATTTATTCCTCTAGATGGGGGCGGGGGGGTGTCCAGCCTTGGCCACTTTAAAACCTGTGTGTTGTGTAGTTGATATTAAATGCAAAACAGTTCCAAAAAAGAAACAGACTTTATTAAAACAGATGAGCATTAGCTCAGATGAGTGGACTTCTGGGAGTTGAAGTCCACCCATCTTCAAGCTACCAAGGTTGAGAAACACTGGTTTAAGGCATCACCAGATTCTTGAGCCATTATATAAATGCACCAATATGTCTCTTAGGTCGGTCCTCCAAGATGTGTGCCTCGGCTCCAAGCAGGGCTGCATCCAGATGGAAACCAATGAGAAATGTATACGGATTTTGCTGACCACTGCCTGGGTAGTAATCACCCTCATCATTGCCCTGTGTGTACCTGACATCAGCGAGGTGGTCAGCGTCATTGGAGGCATTGGGGCTTTCTTCATCTTCATTTTTCCAGGTAGGTCCATGTCTCTTTTCTCTCCTGGGAATCGTTAAAGAGTTTGATGGTCAAGGGAGGAGGGAGGGAAGGGGGGAGGGGGTAGCAGCAGCTGGTCAGGATGCGAAAACTTGCCTGATGACTTATTTTGTAAAAACAACCAGTCTGCTGATTTCCATAGAATCATAGAATCCTAGGGCTCAAAGGGACCTTAGAGGTCTTCTAGTCCACCCCCCATTCAAGGCAGAAGTCCTTATATCAACTCAGACAAATTTTTATTTTTATTTTTTTTAATTTGATTTATATGCCGCCCTTCTCCGGAGACTCAGGGCGGCTTACAATGCGTTAAGCAATAGCCTTCATCCTTTTGTATATTTATACAAAGTCAGCTTATTGCCCCCACAAACTGGGTCCTCATTTCACCTACCTTAGAAAGGATGGAAGGCTGAGTCAACCTTGAGCCTGGGGAGATTCGAACTTGCAATAATTGCAGACAGCTGAATGTTAATAACAGGCTTTTTAGTCTGTTGAGCTATCCAGGTTCCTTGGACAACAAATGGTTGTCCAATCTCTTGTTTATTTTCATCCATCCATCCATCCATCCATCCATCCATCATTCATTCATTCATTCATTCATTCATTCATTCATTCATTCATTCATAATATATTATCTTTTATCAATAGGAATAAAATACAAAACAGAAAAAAAAAACATACATCGAACAGTAACAACAACAAAAAAGAAAAAAAAATGTGTACAGAAAAGTACAGAAAAATGACCCAAACGTACAATTACATTAAACATATTTTAAAAAATCCACCCTCGCTGGATGTTGAAAAGAAAAATAAAATGAACCCTCCTTACATAACGGGTCTATAAACAGTTATAAACCTTCTCATCCTTATTAATAAGAAAAATATATCGTGTAAACAAATATATTGCAGGAACTGGGTATGTCTAGTTTAATGAAGAGAAGGACTAGGGGAGACATAATAGCAGTCTTCCCATATCTTAGGGGCTGCCCCAAAGAAGAAGGAGTCAAACTATTCTTCAAAGCAATGGGTGGAAACTAATCAAGGAGAGAAGCAACTTAGAAATAAGGAGAAATTTCCTGACAGTTAGAACAATTAATCAGTGGAGCAACTTGCCTCCAGAAGCTGTGAATGCCCCAACACTGGAAATTTTTAAGAAGATGTTGGATAACCATTTGTCTGAAGTGGTGTAGGGTTTCCTGCTTGGGCAGAGGGTTGGACTAGAAGACCTCCAAGGTCCCTCTCAACTCTGTTATTCTATTTCTATTTCTAAATATTTCAGATAAGGAGGTCTCTAATAACTGAATTGACTCAACATCTGTTCTCTTTCTCTCTCTTTCTCTATCTACCGTGTTTCCCCAAAAATAAGATCCTGTCTTATATTTTTTTGAACCCTGAAATAAGCGCTTGGCTTTATTTTTGGGGAGGGTTTATTATTTTGGGGCGCGTGGAGCAAGATGGGGATCCTTTTGTCATCTTACCTGATTTCCAGCTCTGTCTCCCTAACCCTAACCAGAGGAAATGGCGGGGACCGGCTGTGCATGCAGTTAAATATTTTTTGGGGAGGGCTTATTTTTGGGGAAACAAGGTAGTCTATCTCTCTATTTCTCTATCGCTATCTCTCTCTCTCTCTCTCTTTATCTATCTATCTATCTATCTATCTATCTATCTATCTATCTATCTATCTATCTAATCTATCTATCTATCTATCTATCTTTCTCTCTCTCTCTCTCTCTCTTTCTTTCTCTCTCTCTCTCTCTATCTAATCTATCTATCTATCTATCTATCTATCTAATCTCTCTCTCGCTCTAGCTTTCTCTCTCTCTCTCTCTCTCTCTCTCTCTATATATATATATATATATAATTTATCTATCTATCTATCTATCTATCTTTCTATCTATCTATCTATCTATCTTTCTATCTATCTAATCTCTCTCTCTCTCTCTCTTTCTCTCTCTCTCTCTAATCTATCTATCTTTCTATCTATCTATCTATCTATCTATCTATCTATCTATCTATTTATCTATCTATTTATCTATCTAGTCTATCTCTCTCTCCCTCTCCAATGGAGCACCCACCACTCCAGTAGGAAAGCTGTTCCACTGATTAATCATTCTTACTGTCAGGAAATTCCTCCTTACTTCCAGACTGAATCTCCCTCTGATGAGCTTCCACCCATTGCTTCTTGTCTTGTCCTCTGGTGCTTTGGAGAATACGTCGATCCCTTCTTCTCTGTGACAGCCCTTCAAGTATGGGAAGACGGCTATCACGTCTCTCCTCAGCCTTCTTTTCATTAGTCTAAACAGACACAGTTCCCTCAACCGTTCATCGTATGATTTAGCATCCAGACCTCTTATCATCTTCGTTGCTCTTGTTTGCACTCTTTCTGGAGCCTCAGAATCATTTATGTATCATGGTGAATCACAACTGGACGTAGATTACGTTAATACTCTACTTCAGTGTTTCTCAACCTTGGTAGCTTGAAGATGGGTGGACTTCAACTCCCAGAATCCCCCAGCCAGCATCTTCAAGCTTCCAAGGTTGAGAAACACTGACATAGATGTTTTGGAACCTGCTAGAAAGAATGAAACTTCTAGTTGATGATCAGGGCAAATTTAGAACACAGAATGTCTATGGAGATGCTCAGTCCTTCAGGTCATGGTTGTCCCAGAGATGCTTTTTCAAGAGGCAACTGGACTTTCTGTCAGAACTTCCACCTTCTCCTTGTTTAATGCCAGTCTGCTATGAACTCCGGGGGGAGAAGATGAGAGGGGGAAGGATTCAGAGGGTCTACTCTACAAAACGGTCCTTTCAACAGTTCCAAGAAGGCTCCACACCCATTTGCACTACTCAGGAGATCCTGAAGACACAGATAAACTTCCAGTTGGCCTCAACGACTCTCTAAAAAGGATGCAAATGACCAGCCGTCTGCAAGGAGTATAAATCCTTCCATTCCCCACCATCCAATCAGAGCTGAAGAAGCTTCTTGGAAGAGAAGCAAAACGTCTTCAGAGAAAAACCAGAAAGTCCAGGTGCCTCTTGAAAAAGCACCTTTGGGACAATCATGACCTGGAGGACTGAGCATCTCTATAGACGTTCCTCAAAGCAGCTTTCTGCATTGTAGGGATATAGTTGTAGTGGGGTCTGGAATACCCCATATATATTTTTTTTCAAGCAAGTGCTAAGGAACATTATTTGAGGTTGGGATCAAAGCAGTTCTTACCACTCAATCCCTTAACATTCAGTTCTCTGGATTATTTCTCTGCTCCATCTTTTCTTCAGCATGTTGCTTTCAGGGATGCTTTGGTAGTCAATACTGGCTGGGGAGTATGGGTATACGTGTCCACTGCATCACTCTGCCCCCAACAATCTGGCTCTTCATTTTATCCACTTTGGAAGGATGGAAGGCTGAGTCAACCTTGAGCCAGTGAGAATCGAACTGCTGGCAGTGGGCAGAGTGAGCCTGCAATACTGCATTCTAACAGGAAGGAAGGAAGGATGGAAGGAAGGAAGGAAGGAAGGAGGGAGGGAGGGAAGGAAGGAAGGAAGGAAGCCAAATATGATTTGGTTAAAACCATCCATATGTAATTTAAACCTTCATTAGTTAAAGAAAAAAAAAACAATAGCAATAGGACTTATATACCGCTTCACAGTGCTTTCCAGCCCTCTCTAAGCTGTTTACAGAGTCAGCCTCTTGCCCCCAACAATCTGGGTCTTCATTTTATCCACCTTGGAAGGATGGAAGGCTGAGTCAACCTCGAGCCGCTCAGGATCGAACTGCTGGCAGCTGGCAGAATTAGCCTGCAATACTTCATTCTAACCACTGCGCCACCGCTGATCTTTAAGGAATTGTTTATGTTGAATGCTATCTATTTTTTCTCAGGTTTGTGTTTGGTGTTTGCAATGGAGACGGAGCCCTTCAGGCCAAGAACCAAGTACGTTTACCACCCCCAACCCCTCAACCAATTTTTTTCTGCACAATAGGAACGGACAGTTTAGTTGCATTAGAATTAGTGGCTGGTTCCATTCATCGGTCATCTACTTTTAGGCATCAAATAGATTGAAGCCAACCCGCATCATTTACTGCAAAGCGACTCCCTCATTGTGTGGCCACGTGCAAAATGGATTCATGATTCTTCCGGCTGCATTTTTACAGCCTTTGCATAGGCTACGTGCAGTGGTGAGTTCCTCCTGGTTCGGCCCAGTTTGGCCGAGCCGGTAGCGATGATATGATGTCACTGAACCAATTCTCTTTGTTTGGGAGCTGCCCCCCGCCCCCCCGCGTTATTCTTACCTTTTATTTGGCCCCACCCCCAATCTATTGCTGCCTCCTGAGTCCCAGCTGATCGGCTAGAAGGAAAAAAACTGTTTAAACTCTTGTCGCGGGGCTTCAAAGGGCTGCCCTACAGCTGATCAGTGTTAAAAGGCAGTGTGGCGGTAAACTGGTGCCCCCAAAAATGAATGAGTAGACCGGTGCCTCCAAAAACAAATGGGTAGACCGGTGCCTCCAAAAGTGAATGAGTAGACTGTAACCTCCAAAAACAAATGAGTAGATCGGTGCCTCCAAAAATGAATGGGTGGACTGGTGCCTCCAAAAACGAATGAGTAGACCGGAACCTCCAAAAACAAATGAGTAGACCAGTGCCTGCAAAAAATAAATGGGTAAATCGGTACAGCTCTGCAAGCAGTTAAAAGCCTGGTAGACCAGTACCTCTGCTAAATCCTAAAGAATTGTCACATGACCATCAAACCACGCCCACAAAATAAGCCACGCCCACAGAACCGGTAGTAAAAAAATTTAGAACCCACCCCTGGCTACGTGCTTTTGCGAAGCTTCAGCTGGGAAGAATCCTGAAGCCGAGAAAGTCGTGATCACAGCAGCTGGCAACATTTTGCAAAAACATTAAGAGAGGCTTATTCCAGTGGTGAAATCTGAACTGGTTTACTACCAGGCTCGCTGGCTGCGCAAGCGCGCTGCGTGCCAAATGCGCACTGCTGCATGCATGCGCATTGCACACCATGCACCAAATGCGATGTGTGTGCGTGCGCGTGCAGTGCACACCAAAAGGAAGCATGGGGTAAGTAGAACAGCGCACGCGGGTGGGAGTGATCAGCTGGGGCGATCTTTTTTTACTTTTAAAAGCATTTTTTTACAACCTATTCGCCCAAATAGGTTGTAAAAAAATCTTTTAAAAGATAAAAAAAAAAAAAAGACTGTGATGATCGCGATGCACAGCTGTGATCGTCAGAGCCTTTTTTTTTTACTTTTAAAAGGAAAAAAGTGAAACCTTCTGTGCATGCGCAGAGGCTACAAAACACATTACTTCCTGGTTAAAACCAGGAAGTAACGACAACCGGCTGGGTGGGCCGAGCCTCGCGCTGCGACCGCTACCGGATTGGGCGATCCGGTCCGAACCGGGAGCATTTCACCCCTGGTTTATCCCCCCATTTTGCCAAAGGGGCTTGTTGGGCAAGCAGCAACCAATTTTAATAGGGAAAAAAATAAAATTTATTTTTAAATGAACGTCCTGTTATTGTTCCGAGCATCCTGTCAACTCGGTCAGGACTCTGACACTTTGTTCAAGCTCAAGAGATCCTTTATTGAGTACATCATATCGGCACTTAGAAAGGTGAAACTAGCTCTAAATTATTCCCGCACTTATAGATAGTTAAAAGAATGAGATTTCTCCACCCCCCTTTGCCTCTCAGGTCACATGGGCCAATCAGTCCAGATGTAGATTCTCGCTCAACTTCAACAGGTGTCCATTGACATGACCTTGTGTTGTGACCGAGGCCCACGTAGTGATTGCCAAACACAATTCAGTCCTGAACAAACTTATTTTATTTAAAAAAGCTGGGAATTAATTCATTCTCAGCTTAGTCCAAAACAAAATTCTTCATAACCAGTCCTACAGCCTTATCAGCAACCTTTGATGTCTTTGGCAACCTGCCAAAGGCTTTTCTTGGCAAAACCCCCACAAAGTTCAAGAGACGCTGAAATCAACGGTGCTTTTCTACAAAGAGCCCCAAGAGCCATTGCTGCTCTTTTAAGCCTTATGGGAGTGGCCAATCATCTCCTGGCCTTACTCCTGAGTTGTCCTTTTTTCTTCAGCTGCTCTTGCCTTCTGGCAGCTCTTCTCATGCATGCACTAGGAACAGGCTCCTCCTGTTCCTCTCCCTCTCTGTTGTCCGCCTCTGGAGGCTCCGGGGTCTGCGCATTGCTCCCAGATGGCCCTGGCCCCATCTCTGCCTCCGACGCAGAGCCCTCATCTGAGCCTTCCCCAGACTCCAGGACTGGCCCATTGTCCTCCCCAGCCTCCTCACTGCCTGACTACGCTGCCAGCTCCACAGGCTGCTGGCAGACCACAACTCCTTGGTTCTCATGCCGGCTGGTAGATGTTATGGCTAGCCGGCTGAGGCACCACATTCCCAAATTCCCCTCCCATGCTCTCCCTCCTCCCCCTTGAATGGCAACCAAGAAATGAAGCAGAAGTAACCATGGCTTCAGCTGAGGTCGTTTTGCAGGTTGACATGTCCCAGTATTTCTATAAAAGCTGGATCTTCATCCAGGTTTTATAGAAGACATGTGTTCTGACCCAGCTCTCCAAACCCGACAAAACCTCTGTATTTAAATCAATAATTCTTTTAATAGGAGTGCCAGCAGCCCCAGCAAAAAGTTTCTCTCTCAACGCAGGCTAACAGGTCTGTCCAGCAGGGAGATGAATAGTTGTCTGCCACATCTATTCATCTCCGCCCTCTGCCTTTGATCCCCAGAGCTAGGGTGGGGCTTCACTAGCAGCGGTGGCTCTTCCTTTCCAAGGACCGGCCCATAGATTTCCACTGCTCTCCTCTCCTCTGCTTTCTGTGCATCTGCGCGTCAGGCACTGGACCCAGCTGTTTCTCCTCCTCCTCATCAGCCACCTCCAGGTCTGGGGGCTGTTGACTCTCCATCTGAAAGCTGACGGACGGCCCAGGCTCCGCCTCTGTCTCTCTCTCTGTGTGTGCCAGCGCATTCCCTCTTCCCCCTCGGAGCTCCCAGGTTGCCTTGATGCTGATCCCGACTCCCACCCCTCTTCCTCCTCCTCTGAATCAGCTGTTGGAGGAGCCAGTGGCCGACAGGCCACAACAATATGCGCAACACGGCCTCTTTTCCCCACTTCCTTGCAGGTCCTGCCTAATTGCCTGGGGAATCATCACCGTCTTTTGTGGAGCTTTCATCTTTGGGCAAAGCACAGCATCTGCCATCATGGTCCTATTGCACAAACTCTAGCCAAAGTCATCAGCCGAGGTGATGTTGCCTCTAAGAGACGCTCTTCTTCACAACTGGACTATTGTGATGCAGTGCTCCGTGTCACTGACAGATGCGGTAAAATCTCAGTTGAACGGGGTTAATTTTAGCAGTTCTTTGGAAGCAAAGAATTGCCTAAGAATTACAGCACCGGCATTTGCAAATAATCCGGACAATTCATGCTATTTCCTTTGCAGTGATTTACACTGTAACATTCACATCAATTGCGTCATTATACACAATGGTGCCAATGTAGTGAAAATGACATCATGGAAAAGAAATGGCAGTGACAGAACCCCCCCCCCCCACATTCCTTAAATGGCCCCTTAAACTGAGATTTTACTATGCTGGTCATAATTTAACTCATACTCACATTTTATCTATCTGGTATTGTTAATAAAAGTGACGTGTTAGTCATGTCTCTTGTTGGATGGAGCTGTTTTTAAATATTCTTATGGATATTTAACAGGGGTGCTGGGCAGATTTTATTGCACATTACATACAGTCTTCAATTAATGACAGTTTGTTTAATGATGGTTTCAGTTAATAACAGCTTCCTAAAAAGTCAGTTATATGACTAAACTCAAACTTACGACTGTTACCCTACCTCTGTAGTGACCTGAGCAAAATTTGGATTCCTAGCAGCTCACTTTTATGATTGATTGCAGCATCCAGCACAGGGGTGAAATCGCTTAACAAATCGTGGCAAGAAAGGTCGTAAAATGGGGCAAAACTCACTTAACAAGTGTGAAATGTAAAATTTGTTACTACCGGCTCTGTGGGTATGGCTTGGTGGGGGGGGGGGGTAATGTGACTGGGTGGGCGTAGCCAACTTTTTTTTTTAACTTTTCAAAGCATTTTTTCTAATGCTTTGAAAAGCCTCTGCTGATCAGGCAACTCAGCTGGGATCGTCAGAGACTTTTCAAAGCATTTTTTTTATCACCTCTTCGGCCAAGAGGTTGCAGAAAAAAATGCTTTGAAAAGCCTCTGACGATCCCAGCTGAGCCGTGCGATCATCAGAGGCTTTTTTTTTACTTTTAAAAGCATTTTTTTGTCAGAAGAGGTAGCAGAAAAAATGCTTTTAAAAGTAAAAAAAAAAAAGCCTCTGATGATCGTGCGGCTCAGCTGGGCATGGTGGGGGGGGGCAGGGATTTTTGCTACCGGTTCTCCGAACCACTCGCTGCCATCGTTACCGGATCGGGCGATCCGGTCCAAACCGGGAGCATTTCACCCCTGATCCAACAATCCTATGAATGTGCGTCTATGGAGATCGTCAATCATTCAGGTCATGGTTCTCCCAAAAGTTGCTTTTTCAAGAGGCAACTGGACTTTTTGCTTTTTCTTTTGAAGACTTTTCGCTTCTCATCCAAGAAGCTTCTTCAGCTCTGACTGGATGGTGGGGAACGGAAGGATTTATATTCCTGGCAGACAGCTGGCCATTTGCATCCTTTTAGAGGGTCGTTGAAGCACTTGGAGGTTTATCTTTGTCCTCAGGGTCACCTGAGTAGTGCAAATGATTCCTGTAGTCTGCAATTTTTTCCCTCTGGAAATCCATTCCGACTCCCACACCATTCCAAGGGTCTCCATCCCAAATTGTATAGCTAAACATCTGTAGAGATTCTCAGTCCTCCCGGTCATGGTTGTCCCAAAGGTGTTTTTTCAGGAGGCAACTGGACTTTCTTGTTTTTTCTTTTGAAGACCTTTCGCTTCTCATCCAAGAAGCTTCTTCAGATCTGAGGAAACCTCTTGGCTGAGAAGCGAAACGTCTTCCAAGAAAAAACCAGAAAGTCCAGTTGCTTTCTGAAAAAGCACCTTTAGGACAACCATGACCGGGAGGACTGAGCATCTCCATAGACGTTCCTCAAAACAGCTTTCTGCATTGTAGGGATATAGTTGTAGTGGGGTCTGGAATACCCCATATTTTGTTTTGAAGCAAGTGCCCAGAAACATCATTTGATGTTGGGATCAAAGCAATTCTTACCACTCAATCCCTTAACATTCAGTTCTCTGGATTGTTATTCTGCTCCATCCTTTCTCCAACATGTTGCTTTCAGGGATGCTTTGGTAGTCAATACTGGCTGGGGAGTATGGGAGTAGGTGTTCACTGCATCTGAAAAATGCCAGCTTAAAGATAACTCTGATTATATAGAATTTGACTATAGAGCCCCCCCTCCCCTCTCTGTCTGTCTGTCTGTCTCTGGTATTTGATGGTTCGTATAAATACGTGAATAAGTGATGCATTTTAAAAATTGTGTATACGAATGTTTATATGAATGTGCAATTTTTCCTGCTAGTTTCTGGCAAAACAGTGGTTAAAAAATGCAGTTGGTTAATCTGGTTTCACATTTATAACGGCTATGACTTAACATACAACGATGGTAAAAATGGTTGTAAGATTGGGTCTGGTCACATGGTGACTTGACTTATGGCTAGAGTTAAAAACAGCCACGAGATCGAGTCTGGTCAGGTGATGACTTGACTTACAACTGCAATGTCCTACGACAGAAATGCCTGTTCCCACTGTGGTCATAAATTGAGGACTACCTGTATCAGAGCAAAGTCAACGGGGGAACCCCAATTCACTTAACAACTGCATGATTCATTTAACAATCGCAGTGATTTGCTTAACAACGGTGGCAAAAGTCATGAAACGGGGCAAAACTCAACAGCTGCCTTGCTTAGCAATGGAAATCTTGGGCTCGGTTGTGGTTGTAAGTCGAGGACTACCTGAGTGGCAAGACAGTCCAGCTACTACCTGAAATCAACATGTTCTTTGCATACATTCGTTGGGGATAATTGGATAAGTACTGATGTTATGAGGATGGCCTTACATTGAGCATGAACTGTCCCCCATGAATCAGAATGGTAGAATCCATAGCACAATCCAAATCTAAGAGCAGAGCTCCTCAAACATGCTGGCTGGGGAATTCTGGGAGTTGAAGTCCATGCATTTGAAAACTGGCAAGGATGGGATAGGATAGAATAGGATAGCGAATGGAGAAGAATGGAGAATGTAAAGAAGAGTAGGAAGAGGAAGAGGAATAGAATAGAATAAAATTAAGAACAGAAAGAATGGAATGGAATAGAATAGACTAGGAGAATAGAATAGGAATAGGAATAGGAATAGGAATAGGAATAGAATAGAATAGAATAGAATTAAGAACAGAAAGAATGGAATGGAATAGAATAGAATAGGAGAATAGAATAGGAATAGGAATAGGAATAGGAATAGAATAGAATAGAATAGAATTAAGAACAGAAAGAATGGAATAGAATAGAATAGGAGAATAGAATAGGAACAGGAACAGGAACAGGAACAGGAACAGGAACAGGAACAGGAACAGGAACAAGAATAGAATAGAATAGAATAGAATAGAATAGAATAGAATAGAATAGAAAGAATGGAATGGAATAGAATAGGAGAATAGAATAGGAATAGGAATAGGAATAGGAATAGGAATAGTAAATAAATAGAATAGAATAGAATAAGAATAGAATAGAATAGAATAGAATAGAATAGAATAGAATAGAATAGAAAATAGAACAGAACAGAACAGAATCAGAGTTGTAAGGGACTTTGGAGGTCTTTTATTCCAACTCCCTGCTCAGGCAGGAAACCCTATACCATTTCAGACATGGTTGTCCAATCTCTTCTTAAAAACTTCCAGTGTTGGAGCATTTACAACTCCGGAAGGCAACTTCTGTTCCATTGGTTGATTGTTCTCACTGTCAGAAAGTTCCTCCTTATTTCCAGGTTGAATCTCTCCTTGGTCAGTTTCCATCCATTATTCCTTGTCTGGCCTTCAGGTGCTTTGGAGAATAGCACTCTCTGGGGCAGCTCCAGTGGTGGGTTTCTCCCAGTTTGGCTCAGCTGGTAGTGGTGACGATATGACGTCACCGAACCAGTTCTCTTTGTCCCGGAGCTGGGCCCTCCCGCCCACCCACCCCCCGTTATTCCTACCTTTTATTTCTTCTTTTTTAGCCCAGCTGATAGGTGTGGCAGAGTGGATTGCCGCACCTCAGCTGGGCAGATTCCTAACATGCAAGTTTGGCGCGCATGCAGTGATCACGCACGAAGCACATGCACGAAGAGAACTGGTAGTAAAGCCGGTTGGAATTCACCACTGGGCAGCTCCTCAAATATTGGAAGACTGCTATCCTGTCTCCCCTGGTCCTTCTCTTCACTAGACTAGCCGTGCCCAGTTCCTGCAACCGTTAATCATGTGTTTTAGCCTCCGGTCCCCTCATCATCCTGGTTTCCATTCTCTGCACTCTTTCTAGAGTCTCAACGCTGAGAAGCACTTGTCTTAAGAGATGGCGAGGAAAATGAAAACAAATCCAAAGGTCTCTTTTAATCTTTTCCTTTTTATTTGGTTATCTGTACTTAGTCATAAAACCGTACACAATGGCACATGTTTATATCTTAAAATTTGCCTATATGTTTGCTAACACTGATACCGTGCCGTCCGTGCTAAGCTTGGGAGCTACATCGTTTTATTTCTAAAACAGTACACATCAGCTATCAAAGGTTACAGTCAAAATGAAGATATATGAGCCACATTGCCCAGAGAAAGAGGTGAGGATTTGGGGTGTGGGGTGTGGGGTGTGTGGGAAATCCCTTGTTCTATGAAAAACTTGCCTGCTTCAGTCTTGTTAGAAACAACTGTTTTCGGTTTGGAAAAGAAAATGCGCATTATTTGGCAGAGTAAGATAATGCTACTTTTTCTACAGTACGCGGAGAGGGGGGAGAGATAAATACATCAAGGCTTGTTTTGATTGATTCATGCAACGGTGTTAAAGTGGGAGAACAGGCAAGATGGGTGAGGGGTTTCTCCAAGGGTCTCTTGCAGCTCTTATTACTAATTTAAAAAACAAACAAACAAACCTTGGAAACAATTCTGAATGGTTCAGATTCTGCAGGAATACTCAGTACCAACCTGTTGGAATAAGTGGTGGTTGGGTGGACAAAGAGAAGAGGATGTCATGGAAATTCTCAATCATTCAAGTCAAGGTTGCTCCAAAGGTGCTTTTCCAAAAGGCAATTTTGGACTTTTGTTTTTTTTTTCCTTGAAAACGTTTTGCTTCTCATCCAAGAAGCTTCTTCAGTTCTGAACCAGTGGTGGGATTCAGCCGGTTTGGGCGAAACGGTAGTTAAATTGCTTGCCGGCCCCACCCCTTCCAGGAGTCCCCATGCACCCCATTTTGGCTCCCAGGTAAGTACAGGGAGGCTTCCTAGGCCCAAAAGGGGGCACGGAGGGCAGCCCTCCCCCCCCGCAGCCCATTTTTGCTCCCAGAGGGGTGCAGGAGGCCAAGTGCTGCCTGTCATACACCCTGGCCACGCCCACCCTGGCCACGCCCACCCAGCTGGTCATTATGGCAGAAAACCACAACCAAGAGCCGAGGTGGCGCAGCGGTTAGAGTGCAGTACTGC